TTTAAAAAGTTAATGTTAATGGGAGTACATGATGCATGCTGTGTGTGTGATTGTAATGTCTTTTAAAAAGAGGGAGTTTTTGTTAGTTCTGGATGGAATCCAAATTTTTCTATGTAATGTCTGTATTTTAGACCGTTAATGGATTCTATTAGATATGTAAATAGCATTTGTATGCAACTGAAAATAGTATAATTAAGCATTTCACAAAATTAAAAATGTCATTTAAAGTACTCCTTTTCCTTAGTGCGGTGATAGAAATTAGATGTCAGAGACTTAGCCCACTTGAGCAGTGTTAGAGGGAGGGAATGTGGAGTAGGAAAAAAGCTCAGTCTTGCGTGTGTGCATGCTAAGTTGCTTCAGTCATGTCTGACTCTTTGTGACACTATGAGCTGTAACCTGCCAGGCTCCCCTGTCTATAGGATTCTTCAGGCAAGAATACTGGAGTGGGTTGCCATGCCTTCCTCCAGGGGATCCTCCCAACCCAGGGATGAAACCCACGCCTCTTATGTCACCTGTATTGGCAGGCGAGTTCCCAGTGCCACCTGGGAAGCCCTTTTGAACTTGAGTTTTATGATCATAAACATAATATAGAGCCTTTTTGAGCCTTTGTTGAACATCTGTAAAATATAAACATTTTCCCACCTTTCAATAGCGTTGTGAAGACTTTAGCCCTTTGCTGATCACAGCAAGTATTTAATAAATGATAACTTGGATGGTGGTTTTACATGACTTGCTTTGTGTTATGTATCTTTAGGATATATGTTAAGGGAGTTTTCTTTATTTATGTGATTGCTTTAATTTGACTTGAGACCTAGGTTATTTTTTCAAGTTGCATGTATATGTATATTATATATACTTATAACTTAAGTAATTGCCTTTGTTTAGTGTCAAAGTATAAAGATGTTGTATACAACAGGCCTAATTTATCAATGAAAATAATCACTTCCACTTTTGAGAATATTTTCTGCCTTTGGTTGGGATGATTTTGTTTTACTGTTTTGGTAAGCTTATGATTTGAAAAATTTCTGTTTTTTGTTGAAGTGTGGTTGATTTACAGTGTTATATTAGTTTCAGTTCAACTGCGTGATTCAGTATTTTTATAGATTATAGTCATTTAAAGTTATTGTAAAACACTAATTATATACCCTGTCTTATACATTGCATCCTTGATCTTATTTATTTAATAATTAGTAGTTTGTACCTGTTAATACTCTTACATTATCTTGTTCCTCTCTTACCCCTCTCCCCAGTGATAACCACCAGTTTGTTCTCTGTGACTATAAGTCTGTTTCTGTTTTATTATTTCCATTTGTTTACTTTATTTTGGGGATTCCATATATAAGAGAAAATATACAGGATTTGACTTTTTCTCTCTGGCCTCACTAAGCATAGAAGTTTCACAATAAGCACAACTCTACGGCTCAACTCATTTTCTAACCTTATCTCTAAAGTACTAGCCAAAAATACAGACTCCATAATCATATTGTATGGATTTAAATTAGGCTATATCACTACTATCTACAAAACTGCTAATCGTCATGATTTTGGCTTTCTAACTTCAGGAAAGTTATTTGATTCTGTATTCTGTTTCCTAATAGTTAAAATGAAAGTAATAACAATATATACCTTTTAGTGTAGTTCAAAGGACTAAATTGATGATCATATGTAAAGGACTTACCTCAGTGTACATTGTATAAGAAGCCATCAGAATACTATTTTTGTCCTTTTTTTATCAAGATATAATTGACATAGAACATTTATGTTAGTCTTAGGTATGCAACATAATGTTTGATTATATATATGTATATATCTGTATATAGTGAAATGATTACCATAGTTTAGTTACAGTCTATGACCACCAGAGTTACAGTTTTTTTCTTGTAATGAGAACTTTTAAGATCTACTCTCTTAACAACTTTCAAATATACAATACAGTATTGTTAACTATAGCCACTATTTGTGCATTACAGTCTGAAGATTTACTTAATCTTATAACTGAAAGTTTGTATGTTTTGATCACCTTCATTCATTTGACCACAGATATTGTATTAGATCTTGTTACCTTCTTTTCATCATTCATTTAACCTATACTTATTGAGTGCCTACTGTATGCCAGGCATAGTACCAGACACTGAACCATCACTGAACAAAACAAAATCAGTGCCTTCATGAAACTTATATTCTAGTGCAGGAGATTACAAATGAATATTGATATCAGGCACTGATGATAGACAAGTCCTATGAAGAAAAATAAAATAAGAAGATGGTAAACAATAGAAGGTGTTATGTAAGGTTGAATGTTCATTTTAGCTGAGACCATGCAAGTACCTGGAGAAGAATATTCTTGGCTATGGAAACAAGAGTCTTGAGGCAGTACCATTCCTGATAACTGTGAAGAACAACATCCTGAACTCCACTCCTATATCAAACTGACTCCTAGACCTCTCCACTTGTGTTTCCACCGTAAGCATTTCCAAAATAACATTCTACAACAAAACTCTTATGCTCCTCGTATACATAACATTTGCTGTCAGAGTGTTTGCTGTCAGTAACTTTGCACAACTGCTCAATCTAATATATCAGTAAACCCTATCAGTTCTACTTTTTAATATACCCACTCCATCCACAGTAGAGTGAACAAAGGAGAGAGTAAGCTAAGATGAGGTCAGAGAGGTTGATGATGTGGGGCTTAATACACTGTGATAAGGACTTTGGATTTTATCCTGAATGTGATGAGAATGCAGAATTTTGATAAGAGGAGTGATATGTGATTTATATTTTTAAAAATTGCTGATTTTGTAAAGAAAGATTTTGAGACCATAGAAGCTGGAAGGATATTTAAGACGCTATTTCATAATGCAAATGAAAGCTGCGAGGCCTTAGATTAAGTGATGGTGGTAGGGAGAAGTGATTGGATTGAGATTAATATGGGTATATTTGAAAGTAGAGCTAATAGGATTTACTGATGTATTAGATGGGAGCAGTTATGCAAATAGTGGCACCACTTACTGAACACTCTAAGGTCAATTTTTAATGTATGTTAGGAGCATAAGAGCTATGTTGTAGAGTATTATTTTGGAAATGCTTATGTTGGAAATACTCCACTTAAGTGGAGATTTTCAGTAGATAGTTTGATATACGAATCGAGTTCAGGGGGAAGTCTGGATTAGAGGTAAAAATTTGGGAATTGCCTCTGTGAATGATATTTCAAGTCCCTACATTTGATAAATAAGTTTGAATAGAGAAGAAGAAAGTTTTAAGTCTGAGATGTTTAATATTTATCAGTCAAGAAGAGGAAAAGGATCTAGCAAAGAAGACTTAGAAGGTACAGCTGGAGTTAGGAGGAGAGTGTGATATCTAAAAAGTGAAGTGCAAAGAAAGTGTGTCACTGAGGAAACCAGATCTGAAAGAGACATGTGCACCCCAGTGTTCATCACAGCACTGTTTATAATAGCCAGGACATGGAAGCAACCTAGATGCCCATCAGCAGACAAATGGATAAGGAAGCTGTGGTACATATACACCATGGAATATTACTCAGCCATTAAAAAGAATTCATTTGAATCAGTTCTAATGAGATGGATGAAACTGGAGCCTATGAAACAGAGTGAAGTAAGCCAGAAAGATAAAGAACATTACAGCATACTAACACATATATATGAAATTTAGAAAGATGGTAATGATAACCCTATATGCAAAACAGAAAAAGAGACACAGATGTACAGAACAGACTTTTGGACTCTGTGGGAGAAGGCGAGGGTGGGATGTTTCGAGAGAACAGCATCGAAACATGTATATTATCTAGGGTGAAACAGATCACCAGCCCAGGTTGGATGCATAAGACAAGTGCTCAGGCCTGGTGCACTGGGAAGACCCAGAGGGATTGGGTAGAGAGGGAGGTGGGAGGAGGGATTGGGATGGGGAATACATGTAAATCCATGGCTGATTCATGTCAATGTATGACAGAACCCACTGCAATACTGTGGAGTGGTTGGCCTCCAACTAATGAAAATGAATGAAAAAAAAAAGAAGAAATGAACACACACAAAAGAAAGTGTGTCAGGGAGGAAGAAGTGATCTATAGTTCTAATGATGTTGGAAATTTAAGGAGAGGGTCTAAAATAATTTCTGGGAGGGAGAATGTAGACAAAGTAGACTAAGGTTGCTCAATTGCCTGGCAGTTCTAGAGCCCATTTGAGGTGTAATGTCATAAATTTAAAGTGAGATCTTGTCACCATGGTTTGTAATTGTAGCCATATTAATCTGCTCAGTTATGAGTACAAAGTAGAGAAAGAGTTAGATTTAAGGTTGAGAATTTCCATGCAGGTATGAAAGAAGAATAGAGGGACAAGGAAGTTGTGTACATGCAGGAGAGTGATCAGAAAGAGGTGCCATAAAATCCAAGATGGCTAAGGAGGGAAGTGGAGCCCAACTCTTTGTACTTCAGCCAGACAGATTTCTGCTGCCACTAGCCACATTCTGCTTTCTCACCTCTGCCTGTTTTCTGGGATGCCCTACTCCTTTCTCCTTCCTGCCACCTTTCGCAACTACCAGGCCAAACAAACACAGACATACCCAATATCCATATGTTCAAATTCAATCCATCCTTCAAGGGATAGCAGACATGGTGCTTCCTTCTTAAAATCTTTCCTCATCACCCCAAGTGATTGTGTTTCCCCTTTTGAGCTCCTGTAGTACCAAGCTGGGTTTTACAGATTTGAGTATGGTATTTTACCTCTCCTGCTGCAGTGTGGAGTTGCAGGGCACTTGACTATGTCCCTGTAGCCTTAGCATTTAGCTCAGTTGATGTGCAGCAGAGTTTGACAGGTCAATAAAAGTCTCAAATAAAATGATTTCTTCAGTGTGTACCGAAGCAATTTTTGAAGCCAGTATTTCATAGAGATTACTTTTACTTTCATATGTGTATTCTTTTATATTCACTGTAGTCTATAGCCGTGCTATGTTGTTTTTAATTATTATTTCATTTATTTATCTTGCAGGAACACCTTTCCTTAAAGAAATATGTTATTGACATTGTGGTTGAAAGTACAGCTCCACCAGAGCCTTTGAAAGATGGAGAAGAGCGGCAGAAAAATAAGAAGAAAGCCAAAAAGATAAAAGCGCGGATGAACTTCAGGTACCATGAAAAGAAAAAAGTGAAATGTTAGTCTCTCAGTCATGTCTGACTCTTTGTAACCCCATGGACTGTAGCTCACCAGACTCCTCTGTCCATGGAATTCTCCAGGCAAGAATAGTAGAGTGGGTAGCCATTTCCTTCTCTAGAGGATCTTCCTGATCTAGGGATCAAACCCGGGTGTCCTGCATTGCAGGTGGATTCTTTACTGGCCAAGCCACAGGGGAAGCCCTCAGGTACTATAAATATGCTTAAAAACAAAGAAAAAGTTTTAGTGCTGTATCATTTTTAATGTAAATCCAAGGAAGACTCTCTGCCCCTCCCCAAAGTTTTAACTTGTTTGCTTCAAGAAAGCCTTGAAAATAATACTGATGAGCCTAATTTATAGCCACTTTCTTTGATTGAGAAAGAAAACTGAATATCGATCTAAAGCCCTTGCTTTCACCTGTTAAGAGCTCTTCTTATAATTGGATGCCAAAGCCCTGCCAAACTTGTGCCTCCTTCAGCATACAATAGTATGTTTAAGTGTGTGTAAACCAAGCCTATTTTTCTTTCCAACTATTGATTTTTAAATGAAGTATCAAAGAAAATCAATAGCAATCAACAAATAGAAGTCTGCTGACTGTAGTGTCAAATCCCATGACTAGGTTTAATCAATTTGGTTGCCTGTCACAACAAGAGAAAGTTCAAGAAATATCTTGAAATGGAAAGTGAGTTGTCAGACCTGTAGTTTATCATCAGCCTCCAAAGTGACATCTGAGGATCAGACAGCTGTGTAGTACATCATTACCTCACAAGATCTGAGCATCATCTGATGACTGATGAGTCTTGTTGCACAACACAAGTGTAGATCCTCCTTAGAAAATAATTCTTTGCTATTTGAAGAAAGGTTGTCTGAATATGTTGTTGCACCTTTATTCCTAAATGGTTAGAAAAAGAGAAGCTTGACCTATGGAATTATAGCAATACAGGTCTAGAATAATGGTGAACAGGTATTACCTCTTATAGTTTGCAATTTCAGATTGTATTTAAGGAAGATGTCCATTTCTTCTTACATAATCAGTCAAAACTTGAGAGTACTCATTCAAGCAAAGAATAGAAATGGCTTTTTTGGGGTTGTTCTGGGGTTTTTTTGTAGTTCCTTGAAGTTTCTAAGAATAGTTTTGCAGTATATACTTTAGGGTATTACTGACCTTCATTTCTAGTTTATGGTGAGAACTTGCTGACCTCCAAAAATGGTATTGAGTCTATCCTCTGGACCTTTCTCTTTTTTCTCTATGTACACATTCCTTTGGTTAGTTCACCAGGTGATTGTCTTTAAATATTCTCCACCTGTTGATGACTACTAGTTTTATATCTCTTCAATTGTACTCAAATTTATTGTGTCCAAAACAAGTTCCTGCTTTCTTCTCTGCATCTGCCCCTTCAAAACCTCTCCCTTCAAGCTTTCTATATTAATAACCAGGTACTCTATTCTAGTTGTGTATGCCAAAACCCTTGAAACTGTCCTTGACCTTTTCTTTCTCCCACGTCTCATCCAGCCTAACTGCAAATCATGTTAGCTTTGCTGTAAAGTACATTCAGAGACTGTCTTTCTCTAGCATCACTACCTCCCCCCTCAATCAAGCCTCCATCATATCTCACCTGGATTATTTCAGTACTTCCTGACTAGTCTCTTTGTTCCTATCCTTGGCTTCTCAGAGTCTATTCTAAACATGCTGGCCAAAGTGACCCTGTTAACATGTCAGATCATGTCACTTCTCTTCTCAAAGCCTCAGGGCTTTTACACTCCAGTTTTCCTCTTTCTGGACAGCTCTCCCACATATATCCATAGAGCTTAGCACTGTTACCTCCTTCAGGTCTTTGCTCAAATGTTAACCTTTTCAGTGAGGCTGTCCTTCAGGCCCTGATGTATATATAGTAATGCTGGGTTATTAAAGGAAATCTTTAAGTTACAGGAAAAATCCTATAATTCTGATGGTGCTAATTTTTTTGGCATATATGTATCCTTTTTATGCTTACATACCTATATCAATAGACTTTTTTCATTGCAGTAGGATTTATATAAGTGAATGTAGAGATGTCTAATATATTTGTTGAGTTTTGTCAAACCTACATACTCATGTATAATCCATAAGAGCCTTTGCATTGTTTCACAGTGTCTTTGTGTCTCTTTCCAGTCAGTCTTTCACCACCCTTGGCTCTTGGTAACAACCACTGACTTGCTTTCTATCATCATAGGTTAGTTTTTCCAGTTCTAGAAATACATGCAAATGAAGCCTTTGTGGCTGACTTCTCTTACTAAGTACAGTTGATCCTTGAACAATAAGAGCGTTAGGAGCACTGACTCTCCATTCAGTCAAAAAATCCACACATAACTTACAGTTGGTGCTCCATATCTGCAGTTCCTCTGTGGTTCCACCTCCACGGATTTAACCAACTGGGGATTGTGTAGTAGTGTGGTATTCACTATTGAAAGCAATCCAAGTATAAGTAGACCCATGTAGTTCGATGCCATGTTGTTCGAGGGTCAACTGTATACCATTTTTGAGATATATCTGTGTTGTGACATGTGTGTAGTTTGTTTTTTTTTTCATTGCTGAACATACCATTGTGTGCATATACCATAAATTTTTGTCTGTTCATCTGTTAATAGACATTTGGATTTTCACTTATTTAGCATTTGTAAATTAACCTTCTATCAAGTCTTTAGGTGTGTTTACATTCTCATTTCTCTTGGATAAGTACTTAAGACTGAAATTCCACACTTTTTTCACAGTGGTGGTACCATTTTACACTTCCATCAGCAACCTGGGGGAGTCCCAGTAGCTCAACATTTGTCAATACTTGGTATCTTTAATTTTTAAAATTTTAACCTTAATTCCAGTGTGAGCATAGTTGTATCTCTGTTCTAAGTACAAATTCTAATTTGCACTTCCTTAGTGATTAATAATATGTATTGAGTATCTTTCCATGTGATTTTTCACCATTCATGTCTTCCCTTATGACGTGTCTGTTGAAGCTTTTTGCCCATTTTAAAAGTTGAGTTGTTTGTCATTTTATCATTGAGTTGTTTATATATTCTAGCTACATTTTCTTTGCCAGTTATGTGTTATGTGAAATTTTTTTTTAATCTGGAGCTTGCCTATACATTTTGTTAATAATAACTGTTGATAAGCAAAAGAATTTTTAATTGTGATGATGTCTGTTTTATCAATATGTTCTTTTTAGGTCTTATGCTTTCTGGGTTCGAAGAGGTTTTTGTCTGATGAAAGGTTAAAAAAACCTTCGTTGTTTTTTTTTTTTTCTAGAAGCCTTGTAATTTTAGTTTTGGCATTTAGATTTATGATCCAGCTCAAACAAATTAGTGGGTATGATATGAAGAATAGGTCCAAGTTTATTTTTCTGTATAGCCAGCCAGTTGTTCCAACACTATTCACTGAAAAGATTTCCATTCCCATTATAATGTTTTAATACTTCAGTTAAAAAAAAAAATCTCCCCTACATGAGTCTATTTCTGGACTCTCCTAGTCTACCCTGTTTTTCTATTTTGACACCTAATAAAAAATATAAATCAGCCCATGAAGTCTGAATCTACTTCTGGTCTGTTCTCTTCCATTATTTTGTTCCTTTTCACACTGTCTTGATTACAGTAGCTTTGTAGTAGATCTTAAAGTAAAGCAATAGAAGTCTTTAACTTTGTTTTCTTTTTGAAGTTTTGTTTTTCCAATGTCTTACATTTTCACAAAAATATTAAGATCAGTTTTTAGTATCTAAAATTAAAAAGTCTCTTGGGATTTTGATTGGCATTGCACTGATCTGTAGATAAGCTTAGGAAGAAAGGATATCCTGATAATTTTGGATCTTCCAATTCATGATAAGATATGTATCTGCATTTGTTTAGAGCTTATTTAATTTCTCTAGTAGTTTTTTGTAATTTTCAGTTTAAATGCTTTACAAATACTTTATTAAATTTATCCCTAATATTTTAAGTTTTTGTTGCTATTGAAAATTGTATTTGCAATATTTTTTGTTGTTAGCATATAGACAGAATTACTCTTTGTATATTCACTAGATATTGGGACCTTTCCAAATAGACTTATGAGCTCTAATAGTTTTATAAATTTATAAGATTTCTTTATGTACATAAACATATCAGAATAAAATCAGTTTTGTTTTTTTCTACTTATTATACTGTTTATTTTTTTCTATTGTCTATTGCACTGTGTTGCACCTTCTACAAAATATGGAACAGAAGCTTTGGTGTTGATCTTAGGGAGAAAGCAGTAAATTTTTCACTTTTACATTATATTAGCTGTAACACCATACCTTACAATTTCTGAAGATGTCATTTCTCAGGTGGAGGGAGCTTTATTCTATTCTTAACTTCCTGAGTGTTTTTTTCTTAGATTGACATATCATATTCTCAAATGCCTTTTCTACATCTATTGAAACGCACTCTTTCATTTTCTCAGTTGGGTGCATTATGTTGACTTGTTATGACAGCATTAGTGAGATATAATTTGCATCCTATTCCCATGTAGGGTATGTAACTCTATACTGACTTTTGAGTGTTAAGTCCACCTTACACTCTTTTAATAAACCCCATTTTCTCATTATGTGTAATTTTTTTAATATTATTGGATTAAGTTTGCTAACTGTTTATAAAAGATTGGTACATTTATGCTCGTGATGTGTGTCGATCTGTAGTTACAATGTCTTTCTTTGGTTTTGTAATCAAGAGAATGTTGGCTTGCTTAAGTGGCTTGAAAACTATTTGTCTGTGTCTGCTGTGAGTTTCTATAGGATTAGAATTAGTTTCTTATTTAAATTATGTATATAATTCATCAGTGAAGTCATACTTTGTATTTCTTCTTCAGTTTTGGTATTTTGTGTCTTTCAAGTAGTTTGTCTACTTCATCTCAGGTGTTGAATTTATTAACACAAAGTTTCATACATTATTCCATTATACTTCTGATTTCTAGTCCTGCACATAGAAAGCT